GGGAATTCAATATTTTTATGACCGTATTACTGACATACCGCAATGAAATGCATTTAGTGCTGTCTAAAAATATTTGTGAAAAGAAATATTGGTTAGTGAATCTTTTTCCCGTGAATATAGTCTGCAAAGTTTTGAAATTCGGGTGCACTGCATACAAGTGCTGTGCGTATCACACTCGAATTACAGAGCAAAACTTTCAATGCAGGAATACTTCAGCCGCTACAATACAATACAAGAATATGAATGTGGGCCTCAATGCCTGATGAATTCGTGCTTTCTTTCGACGTCTGCTGCACACTTGAAAAGTTTCAAAAAACTCACAATACAGCGGCTTTTCTTATCTGAACAATAATCTTACGCGACACTTTTTACATTCAAGATTTGAGATGATTTTATCAAACGTAATCTGGCGATAACGATGCGAAACGCGCGTGGATTGGAAGCTATAAAATTTAAAACTCATTGTCGGCAAAAATTAAGATTTATTCAACCAATGACAATTTTGAAGTATCCTAATTATAGTTTCTGCAGGAAGAGACTGTTCTTATCAATGAAAAGATAAAAAAATAATTTTTTGCATCACTGTTTAGTCTTTCCCCAAAAAAATGCAAGTTCCAATTTGTGTACTGTGGGTAAAAACAGTTATTACTTAACCCTTGGACAATGAAGGGTTCCTATACATTGTGCAGCAGAGTTGGGATATTTTTGGGGGTGGCGCATTTCGCTTTGACCCAAAGTCACTCAATAAATGCTTCAAGGTGGGGAAGGCCTAAGCTGGGAAAACTTCTGGAGGCAAATTTTATGTTGTTTTCAGGAATTCCATGCTACAATCCTATGCCAGGAATGCATGAGAAAACATCATCCAGTGAGGGAATTTTTTCATTAAAAATCTTCTGGGGGATTAGAAAAAAATGTCAGTTTTCTTCCAACTTAGGCCATGGTACAAAATAAATGATTGTTTTTTATTTCCAGTGCTCAGTGCAGACACAAGATTTTTCAAAAATATCCCAACTTTGCTGAAATTAGGGTTAAAACTATTTACAGTGATGCCTGATCTTGTGGATCAGGCATATGAAGTAAATCCTGTTGCATCAACCCTTTAAACAAAAAGGCTAGAAAAACAAAACCGCCCTTAAGGGACAAAGCCTCATGTATATGCAATTTATAGAGTTGAGTTACGGAAACGAGATCCGGATGGCGCATTAATGCGTCAGCATTCCAAGGATGCGAGCTTTTGGTTCCTCTGGGTCGTGTGTCGCGTTATTCTTGCATCTGGTTACCTCGATGAGAGAGACCTTTATCGCAGCACCGGACCGAGATTAGAAACAACATGCGACACACGGTGCTCGAGTGCTTCTCTGCTGACGACTCAGGTTTTAATTCGATTTCGAAATCATGTCACACCGCAGTGGGTTGATGGAAGATGAGCCTCACCACACCTGTGCAGACGAAGTGGCTCGGGTTTCTGTGGAATTCCTTGCCTGCTGTACTTGCTCGCTTGCTTGCTTGTCAGTTGGGATATTCCATCCATTACTTGCTTCAAGTTTGTGGACTCGCTTTTCAGCCTTGCCGAAAGCATCATGTACACGGTGTGATCCAGAAAAAAAATCAGTGAATGTTGTCGTTGTTGACTGGGAATCCTTGGCACAACAAAGGAAGCGGATGATTTTGGTGAGAGTTTATTCAGGTCGGAATATTCTGCGCGCCGGAAGGTTTCAAACCTTGTTTTTTTCTTCAAGTTTCAATTCATTTTGGCCTCTTTAAAAGAAATGTACCTGTCGAGTCACTTATCCTGAGCTGGGATCAAATGCGGTTGTCTGCCTACATACTTCGAAAAAGATTCGAAACTTTTGAAAGCTTTCATCGTCAAGTAACTGAGTGACTGTAATGACAAAGTTTTCATAATTAGCACATAACCTTTTGAGTTTCTAACCGTTTCATTTTTCGCCATTTCCATTCAGAAGATAGAATACATCAAGTATTACGTGTGTTATTCGTTCACGTCGATCAATTTCAGCAAAGAAAAAATAAGTTTGACTAATCAACTTCGTTTTTACATAATCTCCAATGCAATAAATTTGTGGAATTCATTACAGAATTTTGTCGTCGAGAACCGCAATGAAATATGTGGATAGCATCCCGTAGGACTAGAAATAATTTGATGTACAATACAGTAATGTAACAGAGAAAAATCGATGTAAAGAAAAGAGTTTTGTAATACAGGTGGAGCCTCTTCATGATGAAATTGAAGGGACCGTAAAAAAATTCGTTGTACCGAGAATTTCGTTGTAGAGAACCTCTATGACATACTGTATACGGTACGAATCATCCTATGAGAGAAAAAGTCAATCGAGATAACAGAGAAAATTTTTCACACAAGACTCTTGCAGAGTTAGTCGACCCTGTTCATTCCAATTTTCTAAATGCAGCATGAGTGCTTTCAAGAGTTTCAAAATTCCTCAGAAGTCAGAATCCTAAATCAGAAACGTGTGATCAACTTTCATTAATTTCCTGAAAAGTTCTCGGATGTGGAAAAAAAATGTGCGGGTGCTTCATCAGGTTTGCGATTGATTTTTTAGTATTTATTTATGCCTCATCATGCAGATTCAAAATACATATTACAACAGAAACCCGTCAATGATTTGCATCGGTTCGTGGAGGTAATTTAAATGAGAAATATATGAATGTATAATTTACAAGATTGAAATCATGATGAATTCATCAAAAATTTTGAAAATCAACTGATGGGTGAAAAGCAAAACCATTCGAAAAGCCATTCGAAAAGGCTTATGAAATGATTGAAAAAAAGTTTAAAATTGTATTGATGCTTCGACCCCAATCAGCATTGAAATTCGTTGCTCTGCCACAATAATGACTTGGCACTCAGCAAGATGCTGTAATTCTCGATGTAAAATTGCGTAGATAATTTTCCAACCGAATGAAAACACAGAAAAATTACTCAGAAAATTGAAGGAATGCGTGAACGGAAAGTTCGTGGAAAGAAAGGTACATTATATACATGAAGGTGGTT